ACACCGTGCAGTTCCGGCTGCAGCCCTTTCAGGAGTTGTATTGGCCCTTTGATAGACGCAGTTGTTGTTCTCATTCATGTTAAGGCAGAAGCTGAAACAGAACCCAAACCCTAAACCCTAAACACTTGCGCCTTGGTGCACCCAAATACTCGACGCTCAACAGCGCTGCTGGTGCTGGTTGCTCTGGCGCATGTGGCGCACCATAGCTTCGTGGTTGCTCCCTTTCCGGCACTTCGGGTTCAGAGCTCCTTGCGCCCTTCTGGCATTGTCAGAACGCGCGTGTTGCGCAAGGCAACGGAGGGTCAAACTCAAAGGGTTAGGGCATTGGAGTCGTGTTTTTTTTGTTCCCTGAGGTTGTTGCAGATGAGCCTTGGCCGTATGGACTGGTGGGCGATGAGAAGTCCTATGCCCGTCAGTTGGATGGCAACTTCTTCGCTGATGTCAAGAACGGTAGCTTGTTCCTTCAAGCTTTGGAGGAAGATGCCCGGGAGAAGCAGGTGGATGCAGATGCTCACCTTAAAAGTGTCCGTCTTAACGCCAAGAACTTCATGAAGGGAAGCACGATAGTCGACCGGTCACAGTTTATGCACTTCTGAATGCGGTCTCCGAAGACGGCCTGCTCACCTTGGTCTTGGGTGGCAAAAGTGTAGGCAAGACATTAGTCATCTTGCGTGTCGCGGAACAAGTCAGGCAAGCACCAGACGGAAACAGGACAATCCTGCTGGTTGACATGCGGGACATGCCTGCAAGAGATTTTTACGAGGCCACGCTTTCAGTGGCAAGTAAGCAGACCAATGTTCTAGACATCCTTGCGCATCTGCCACTCTTTGGAAAACGGTTTCGTGCTGGACCACAGTCCCGAGTCTGGCGGTTCATCCAGCAACTGCCCTTCATGGCGACCCTGCTTGGGGCTTTGCGAGCTGGAAAGGCAACAGCGGCTGCGCCATTAGCAATGGCCGTTCAAAACTTGGTGAAATCCCTGGACAACGACGACAAGGCACAGGCTTTGCCCGAGTTGGTCAAGGGCATAGCGAAGAAGAGCATCGACACCACCGTCATCATCGACGAAGCAAACCTGGCGCTCCCCAAGGACGGCAACGATGCCAAAGCAGAGACAGCCAAGGCCGCTTTAGCTCAAATCACAGGCAACACCAAGCAGAGTTTCAAAGCCTCGGTCATTCTCATCAGATCCGAGCACGGCTACCCCTTCAAGTTGGCTAAGGCCGGTCTCCACCTAGTCGACATCAAGCACATTATCATCGCTCGGAAGTGCCGCCAAACGACATGTTCAAGATGCTCACCGGCCACTGGGGCATGGGGCCGAGACTGGCGTGCCTCTACGTGGCCACCTACGGCGGTTCTATTGACGCAGTCTACACCGCTCTGGGCAACCTGATGAACAAGCGCAACCAGTTCTCTCCGCTGGCCACTACATCCGTTCCGGGCATAGGCATTTGCTTGGGTCAGGCGCGTTTGGGAGCAGGTTTTGGTTTGTGTTTTAGGGGTAAGGCAGGTTCGCGCCAAAATTCTTGCTGACTTCCGCAGGATGACGCCCGCGAGCGACTCATCAATATCGCACTGAATGGCTTTTCGCCTGTGTCCAACTTGAAGCAGGATGAGGGTGCACAGATGGCATCAGAAGAGAACGTCGCGGGCATCATCCCCAAGATGGCAGAAGCGCCGGGTCTGTGGCCCGAGGTTTACCGCGAGACCGAGAAGGAGTACGTCCTGGTGGCCTCCTCGCGCCACGTGCGATTGAAGATTTGCAAGGTGCGCTTCGTCCAATCAGCCTGTCATGTTGTAGGTAGGCAGGGTTTGCGAGTTTGTGGCCCTGTGAGGCGCTCCTTGACGAGGGCTACATCCAGAACAGCGGTGGCAACTTAGCGAGGGTTTCACCGAGTTGGTTTCAAAGCCTTCTCCAAATAAGCATTTTATGGCAACGCACAGTGGACACCTTTGGCTAATTTGACACAGTGTTTCAGCTGACCGCGCCAGAAGAAGTCGCGGAAACTAATTACTTACCGAATGGGAGCACCTCATGAAAACAGAGTGCCAGAGAGCAATGTGCCACCAGATATGAAAGCACTTTTCGGCAGTGCTGTTTGCAACTCCCTTATCCCCTAACCAATAAACCCGAACCAGCTTTCGCAACGCGACTTGTAACATGGCAGGTGCTCATCTTCATCAACGATTTTGACCTCTGCGACTTCAGCTGTTCAGGGTTGTATTTAGGGTTTTCGTGGTAACTTTGGTTCGCTTCATATTTTTATTTCTGTTCTTCCTCAAACTTTCAGCAGTTCATGCCTCAAATAACCTCTCTTATCCGCGCTCTCTAAATAGTAAGAGTTTTGTCCTAATTTCTTATCAATTCGTTTTACTTTTTGGGGGGTTCTCACCCAATGCGAAGTACGTTCTTTTTCACTAATGCCTTTTT